TTCTTACAATAAAGCATATAATCTCTAAATACATATGAAGTACTTCCAATGAAGATAAGGTCTAGACCCAGATGTCTGGGTGCAAAAATGTCCATTTTGAATAAATTTTTTTTTCTTTTTGATTTTTTTTGAGACAGGGTTTCTCTGTGAAGTTTTGGTGCCTGTCCTGGAACTCACTCTGTAGCCCAGGCTGGCCTCGAACTCACAGAGATCCACCTGCCTCTGCCTCCGGAGTATTAGGATTAAAGGTGTGCACCACCTCCGCCCAGACATTATGAATAAAATTTTAAAGTAAACCAAAATGTTCAAAAATTGTAAAATACCTTGATCGCAAATTTTACACTGATTACATGATAAACAGTATTTCCAGTGTAATGAGTTAAATCAAAGATGAATTCCACCTCTATTTTTAGCAAAATCAGTGGCTCCCATTTTTCTCTTCTCCCATTTTTCTGTCTGTCAGCACCTGTTCCACCATCCCCTAAGCCCTCCTCTGTTCACCCTATCACACCACTAGTCACACTCTAAACAGGTAAGGACAAAGTCCAACAGGAAACAAAAGCAGTAGGAAGTCTATGTGGCTTCTTCCTCTCTCTTTTTACAAATTAGATTTATTTATTTGTTTGTTTATTTGTTTATTTATTTATTTATTTGTTTGTTTGTTTATTTATTTATTTATTTTGGTTTTTCAAGACAGGGTTTCTCTGTGTAGCTTTGCGCCTTTCCTGGAACTCACTTGGTAGCCCAGGCTGGCCTCGAACTCACAGAGATCTGCTTGGCTTTCCCGAGTGCTGGGATTAAAGGCGTGCGCCACCACCGCCCGGCTAGATTTATTTATTTTATGCACATGAGCATTTTGCCTACATATACATATGTGCACCACGTGTGCCTGGTGTCCTCAGAGGTCAGAAGAGCCCCTGGAACTAGAGTTACAGATGATTGTCAGTTGTCATCTTCTGCCGAGAAAGTAATCCTCACCCTCAAGCATGGAGGCATCTCAGACCATGTGGCATCTCTCAAAGGCAATCACTGCAGCAGTGCATGGTGGCAGGCTTAGAGTCCCAGCACTGAGGAGGCTGAGAAGATTTTTGAGTCGGAAAACACCCTGAGCAACATTAGCAAGATACTGTCTCAAAAACAGATGATTTATGGCCAGGTGTGGTGGTTAATCCCAGCACTCTGGAGCCAGAGGCAAGCAGTTCTCCTAGAGTTCAAGGCCAGCCTGGTCTACACAGTGAGTTCCAGACCAGACAGGGCTACACAGTAAGACCCTGCTTCAAAAGAAGAAGGGAGGAAGAGAAGAAAGGAGGGCAAGAGGAACAAATTATTCCATTCTTCAAAACACTGTTTTAGAGCTCTAGATGGAGATCCCATTCTGACTGTGGTCCCTGAGCCTACTTCGGTCTCACTTTCTTCACTGTGAAGGAGAGGACCAAGGACCAAGTGAAGACAGTCGGAATCTGCTCTTCTATGCACTCTCCACCTCATTCATCATCACCGGGTCCCTGAAGATACACATCCCAGTTACAATCAGAAAGATTTGCTCCAACAGCAAACTACCAAGTTCCTAAGACTACAGATTTCACTGCATTAAAATGAAAACTATAGTTTTACATTCCTTCAAGTATTCCCCAATCAGAGCACAAGTTTTTTCAGTAAAATTAACCAACTCCTTAAAGCTGAGTAAATTAACATTTAAAAAATTCTGGAAAAAAAAAAAAACTGTTTTCAGTTTAGAAACTCTTTCCCTGTTAGACTAAAGCGTAACTCCAGGTGAGGTGCTCTTCTAGTCTACCTAAGCATGTATTACCTCCCAGGAAAACCAAAACCTTAGCAGGAATCAACTATTCAGCTCAGCAACATACTGCATGCCTGCATTTATGGATCAAAGGGAGAAGAACAGGGTGGGGAGATTTGTAAAGGAAAACTAAAAGTACCAGAGTGTTCAACAGAATGTGCCAATTGCAAAGATGCTTAATATGCCAAGAATTGAGAATTTCAGGCAGTGGAGTTTTGCTGTAGTTTTGTTTGTTGAGACAGGGTTTTGCTGGCTGGCACCGAACTTCCTGAGTTCTGCAGCCTAGCATTTCTTCAGAATCTGCAACTCTGACAAAAACTCCTTCATCACATAAAACATTAACATTTATGTGATGTGATTGATATTCCAAGCCTTGATGACAGATCTTCATGAAAACAGCAATTTTTATTTGCAACATTCTTACAAAAAAGTTTAAAATAAACTTAGAGTTTGCTGTTAAGTTTCACAAGTTAACTCTACACTCTCTAGTTCCTCATTTCCAGTTCTTCTATGTGTTTTAGAAAATTGTTTTCTACTAAGCACAATGGTATAGAGGCTTGGAGATCAAAGACCTCAGATGACAACTGAAATATTCCTTCCAATGATGTGCTCAAAGAGAGTGGATAAAAACCTGAGGTCAGGAGATACATTGTCTAGAAGAGGTGACTGGGGCTTTTTGTGCAACTGATCACTATCTACTGGAATGGAATCCTACCAGCCCAGCATAAGCTTCAAGTGTAACATGGCCCTACAAAAAATAAATGGCAGACATCTTCAAGAATACTTGTGAAGCAATTTTGTATATATCCAAAATCTTCACATTTGAGAAAACAGTTTCAATTATTTGCAGAAATTGCTACTCACATGCCACACCTGCATTAAATTTATTTTAATTTGGGACAAGTTTGAATTCCAATCTGTAGGACCATTCAACAATTCTTCTCTCCCCACCCCTCTCCAAAAAACAAACACAAAACAAAACAAAAAACAGCTGAACTTTGTGACTGTAAGTGTTCCTTTTCTGCATATCCAATCACTCTTAGCTAGCTAGTGTGCAATTCTGTCCCATGTGAGGAATATCGAAAATATATAGTGTTGGGAACCATACAGCCTCGTACTGGACCAGTGGACCTGTATATGAGTGCTTGTCCAATGGGTCTCCACATGAAGCAAAAGCCCACGGGGACAGTCTCACTGGGCAAGGACCAGTGTATTTAATAGAAATGAAAAACTATAATCACCAATGATCAACAAATAACATTTACCAAGAGGCAAACCACTGTCATGTGAAACGATTAGCAATTGCCTTTGCTTGTCTTGTGTACGGTTTATAAACATGTCTGCAGAAAGGTTTTTATTTCTGGTGCACTTTAATATGGACAAGTCCACTGTCCACTAGGATCCAGGAACAGTGTGAAGGCACGAACTCTTCATATTCGTTGTTGAAAGAGGGAACCCAAACAAGTTTGAATTGAGGACAAAAATTCACTTCTTGATCAGCACTGTCATTTTCAGACCTTTGCAAAACTGTGATCTTAATGCCCAAACAGATGGATTATTTGAATTGGACCATTGCACCTTCCTTCTAGAAATTAGCTGAAAGCAGGCTTCTTTATGGGGATATTTGGGAAGAAGTAACTTAATATGACTAAACAATGATGTTAAGGAGCCAGGGCAAGTGAACGAGGAAATTCAGCAGTTCAGAAGAAGCTTAATTCAGCGAAGCCCTCTAATGGTCACCTGCCTAGGCCAACCACTGGCATGCTGCCATGCTAGACAATGGTGTATTGACTCCAGGATAAGGTTTAGTGGGGGGAAGGTCGCCCCAACCTACTAAAAAGAAGCCAGTTACAGATCAACTGGTCTGGTACTGACTCAGAGCAGTTATACACTTACTAACAGGCTCTGGTGAATTCCACACAATCCTGTGAGACACACACCTGCCCTAATCCCACAACTACCTGCTAGATTCCAGTGGGCCACAAATAACCTCTAAATAACTCTCCCTACCTTCTAGAATCAAAGGGAGGCTAAGAGCTACACCACCCCACGAAGAAACCAAGAAAGGAAAAATATGCGCATTCCTTTGGGACCTTGACCCCAGGCACCCTGAGGCTGACACCGCCCCTAGCCGCCCCTCCATCTCTCTTCTTTCTGTTCCTGCAGTGAGTGACCTTCGGCACCTTATAGTCAGGGAAGGCAAGACACAAGCCACTGCTACCCCAACCCCAAGGTGCCTTTCTCAGTTGTGAACTGCAGAGAGAAGACGAGAAAGGTTGCTCCTTCCCAACCCGCCCGCCACACAATTTCTGGGTGCAGACTCGCTGTGGAAATGGGAATAGACCAAGGGAAGGTGACAGCCCCGCATCGGCCCGGGGTTAAAGAGAATTCTCGCTCCGGGAGAAACGTGCGAGAATCTCTCCCCGCTTCCCCCCTCCCCAAATGAATGGACTGAGTAAAATGGAAAGGGGGTCTAGTCTAGTATGCGCAGTTCTTGCAATTCAGGAAGCAGATCAAGAGGCCGTCAGACGCAAGGCCTGGCCTCGCCGCCCTTTGCACTCCAATTCGTCATTTCCATCTTAGTCTAATATCACTTAACCCTTTAGGCTTTCGAGAGACTGTCCCTTCCTCCATCTACGCCAAATACCGAGCCCCCCCCCCCGCTCCCCTCCCCTCGATTCCTTTCAGGCCGAGGCGCCAGCTTCTTCTTTCCCACGACCCTCGAAAAGGCCCTCAGCAGCCCCGACCCACACACACCTGGAGATGCTCCTGAAAACGAATTGGCAGAATCTGGGCCATGGCGCTGTCGGGGGGGTATGGTCTCCTCCTGTCACTGGGGCTACGGGGCAGTGCCTGCCCGGGCTCTCCAAGGGAGAGGAGGAGAAGGGGAAGGGGGGGAGGCTGGGCTCAGCAGGATACTCTCCGGGGACGCAGGAAACTGGCAGGCAGACGAAAGAGCTTGGGTCGGGGGCGGAGGCTCCAGGGGCCGGGAGAGCCGCAATGGCGGAACCGGGAGCAGCGCAGACTCCGGAAACGGCTGAGCCCTGCGGAAGGATCCCGGGGCAGAACTCCGCCCAGCCTGCTCACTCCCTCCGCCTTATGTAGCCTTCCACGAGCGCCGCGCCGCGGTCGGGCGTAGGAATTCAGGGACGCAGTGCGCCGAGCGCCCTTCGCGGACGCGACAGCGGGGAGGCAGGAGAAACCCAGGGACTACTTTTTTTCGACTCATCACTTTCCCCAGGCTCCGGTTTCTCCCTCCTCCCCTCCCCCCACCTTTTTTTTTTTTTTTTTTTTTTAACATTTTGCCACATCATGCGACTCGGGGCGACCGACGTCATTTCCGCAGGCGCTGTAGGCCCCACCCACGCACTTCCAGGTGCACGTGATGCGGGTAGGGAAGGGTCGGTTGACGGCTGCCAGAGCGGAGGACGAGGGTTAGGGAATGGCCGCGGCGGCGGCTGGAGATGAGGCGGCGGTTGGGCCCCCTGCCGGCGTGGCGGCCGGGGCGTGGGGACAGCTAGCGCCTGAGGAGGAGGCCGCGGCGTGGGCGCCGGGGTGACTCAGGAAAACGGCCGCGCCGCAGCGCTCTTCGGGCGGCTGCCTGCGGCGCGCCTCCCCCGCCCGGTTTCATGCAGTGGGTGGTTGCTGACACCTCAGGGAGGGGAGGAGGGGGTGGCGATCATGCCGGGCTGCAAGCCTCCCTGCCCTGACGCACGCCCTTCTGACGCGGGGAGAACCGGCCGGCTCTCCGAGTTCCTCAGATAAACCACCTCCGAGGACAGACAGGGAAGGCCATGTGAGAAGTGTCTCGGGCTGGCCCTGGAGAGCGCTCCCGCGGACATGTTAGTGGATTTAGACCCACCTAGTGTAGAGATCAGCTTGGCCTTGGAGTGTTCAGATTTAGATCAAGGGCCGGTTTCTTGGAGCGGAGGGATTGACTGTTAGTCATACGTGTTAGGAGGACCACTGCCTTGGAGTAGCAGGGTGGGCAATGTAAGCACTTCAGAACCGGAGCACGGTGTCTCCCCACAGCCTTAAGGTATCTGCAGCATTCGTTGGCGATTATAGCCGCCTCCGAGCCCTTGATCAAGTATAAGATGTAATGGTTCACAATAGCATCAGTATAAGCAAGGTTTATAGAATTCAATCCCATGCCTTTCATCTTGGTATTTTTTAAATTCCCCTGAAAACTCTTGAGAGAATTATTTTCAATGCCCCTTTCATTAACATAAAAACCCACTGTGTATACAGTAATTTTGTGTAAGCAGTTTTGCTTAGAGGAATCTGCTTAGTCATTTTACTTGCTTTTAGTGCCCCCCCCCATACTGTCTTGCATACCTAGGCTGAGACAAGAAACTGGCAGATAAGAGGGCAGTCCGAGATGGTTGTGAAGAAGAACCTTGCCACCATATTGTAGGATGCTTTGTGTGTGCATAATTTCACTTTATTATGACAAGCATTTGAATGTGCTCTGTACTGCAAGGTTTAAATGACCATTTTAATATGAAGTTTTAAGTCCTTTTTTTGAAGTGGGCAGACTCTAAATTAAAATTCTAAGGGAGTTACTGTTTTATTACAGAAATAGCAGTAGCTTAATCGAATTGCATTTTCAGTCTCAGAATTTGGGATGTAAGAGCTACATCATGAACAGATCACCACAATTTAATTTATTGACTAGTGCCTTGCATTTTTATACAGACACTGTAATTCTAAGGACATTTAGAATCTCGAGAGCAATTGATTTTACTTACTTGGTGTGAAATAGCCAACCAAAAAGTACAGAGTCCTGAGACTGCTGTGTCATCACACATAGAAATGTCAAGAATGAGTTGTTTTCAGAAATCCTTTAGGAAGGAAAGTAGATTGTGATATCCCAAATCATTTTGCTTATTAACAGAACTGCCTTCTTGCCTGCCCAAGCCTTCTCTCATCCCGAGTATGAAAGACAGTACTGGGGGAAAGCACTAAAAGCAGCTCGGTGACTAAGCAGATTTCTCCCAGCAAAGGCACCTTAAATTTAAAACAGTAAGAGAAAAGGTCCAGATGATAATGCTGAGAGCACTGTAGTACACACCCATAATCCCCACACTGGGGAGTTCTGAGGCAGGAGGATTGAGAGTTCAAGACAGCCCTGCCACATAGCAAGACCCTGTCCCCCAAAACTAAAACAGCCCCCAAACTGGCATGTCTTTTTAAAGATCAGTAACTTGTGGTAGTAAAGGATGTATATTATGAGATTATGCTATCTAAATATCCAGACACATAGAAGCAAGAGGGCAGTTCCCTAGCTTAAAAACTGTGTTTCCTAAACTGTACCTGAAAGGCATGGTTTTAAGTCCTACCTTAAAATAGATAACCTAATAAGCCTTAAAACAAATTCTGCTATCAAGAAGTAATTCTTTTACTGGGAACAGACTACTGCATTGGATGACTCATCACCCTGGCTTTAGTTTCGGATGTTTTAGTGAAGAAGCCATTTTTACAGAAGTATCAGTAGTAGCCCCTTGCATATTAAGTACCTTAAAAAAAGGGCGGGGGGGTGGGCCCTGGGTTTGGTCCTCAGCTCCTGGGGGTGGGGGACACACGACACGACTACATTGCTTGGTATGTTACTTTGAGAAATTCTAGTTTCTCAAAGCACAAGAAAACTACATTATCCATCAGTACCTATATTTTATGCTAGAAATTCTAAAGTCTTAATATGTATAACCATGGAGGGGTGGGACAAAAACACTACTTTTAGGTTGGGTGTGGTGGTATATACATGCCTGTTATCCCAGCACTTGCCACTTGGGAGGTTTAGGGAGGAGAATCAGGAATTCAAGGCTGTTTTCCAGTATCAGCCAGGCTGAGAAACATGAAACCCTGCCTCAAAACTTTGATAGCCAGGAATCTGCACCTGAGTGGGTGAGGCAGGAGGATTGATGTCAGTTCAAGATCAGCCTAAAATAGAAATATTGTCTCAAAAAAAAAACCAAAAAAAAACAAAAAACCTTTTGTTGTAGGCTTCCTTCTTAGTTCATCTTTTTTCTTTTTTGGTTTTTCAAGACAGGGTTTCTCCTGGAACTCACTCTGTAGACCAGGCTGGCCTCAAACTCACAGAGATCACCTGCCTCTGCCCCCAAGTGCTGGGATTAAAGGTGTGTTCGCCGCGGTGCCGCCGCCACTACCACCTAGCTATAGTTGTTCATCTTAAGGCAACCCCAAAACTAAAGCTTTTTAAAAACTGACCTTTTAAAAACAGCTTGAGCTAACTACAGTGTAAAAGTCACAGAGTAAAGGCATTCCTCAAAGGTTAATTTGAAAGCAGAACTCTAAAACTAATGCTTTGTATCAAATATAATTAGATCTTAATGAAATCATGAGAGACACACTTTGGAATTACACAGGTGAGATAACTGGCTTTGCCATTTCAACCACCTTTGACATATCTCAGCCTTCTAGGGCTACTGATAGGAATCCCAGCAGGATTAGACTGGGGCTTCATCTTTTCATGCAAGATAAAAGAACACCATAGCACTTGCCACTAAGAAAATGAATATCCCTCCAGGTGGTGGTGGCACACCTTTAATCCAGCACTTGGGAGGCAGAGGCAGGTGGATCTCTGAGTTCGAGGCCATCCTGGTCTACAAAGTGAGTTCCAGAGCAGCCAGGACTACTGGAAGAAACCCTGCCTCAAGACTAAATAAATAAATAAATAAAAATTAAAAAAATATATATATATATCCATCCCTTGGGTCTCAGGAATTGGTCAAGTTCCTCAACAGGGATGGGGGTGGACAGAAACATTAGCAAAGCAAGGTAGCCTTTCTATTTTAGTATAACATGGACCTGAGTTTATAAGATATCTTCATTGTCAAGCTTCTCTTGAACAACTGTCTGGACAGGTTTTCTAATGTATCAGAGTGGCAGTAAGATCTAGAGAGAGTATTTACCTTAATAGCACCGAGTATGCTCCAAGTAAAAGGCTTTAAGACCAGCTTTGTGGGAACCAGCCTTGAATCTAGTCACATTAAACAGGTCCCTCCCATAGTTTCTGACAGATCCTTGCAAAGGAAGGAAGTAGCTTGGAACATTCTCTTAGGAAGTTATTTCAGGCTGTTTGGTGGGTTATGCCTTTAATCCTGGCATTTGGAAGGCTAAATCAAGAGGAAGATCAGTCTTGAGTTTGAGGCCAGCCTAGCTTACATAGTAAGTTCCAGATCAGCCTGGATTACAGAGTAAAACCCTGTCTAAAAACTGCTGTCCCCCAAAAGTCATCTTAGAACACTGGTTTAAATATAGTAGATTCACAGACCATTGTGGAAACACTTTAACTGTGCTGATCAATAAATGCCAATCGCATCCCTTTCCCACCCAGTAACAAGTCACAAAAGTTTGAGAGGTGCTGTTGAATGCAGAGGTAATGAGGGTAAAATGTGGGAATGATTTGTTACAGGTCTTTTCCTCCTGAATGTCTTATGTGTGTCTATGCATAAGATGTGTACATAGAGGCCAGAAGTCAACCTCAGATGTTCCTTAGGAACCATCCACCTCATTTTTTGTCTCTCACCTGGACCCAGGAGCTGAAGAGACCCCAACCCCCACCCCACCCCCACCCCGCCCACCTCCAAACACTAAAATTAGAAGCACATACCACCATGCCCGGATTTTTTTAAATTCCCTTTTTAAAAAATATGGTGCTGAGAATCAAACTCCATGCTTGCATAGCAAGCATTTTTTCTACTATCTCCCAAGCTCCTTCCAGTTCTAAATATGTAGAACTGTCTTTTTCATGCCCAGAGTTATTACTGTTTCCAGGTCAAAGCAAAGTACGGCCCACAAACACGTTCCTTCAACAATCAGTTTTGTCATACTCAAAGGTTAGATAGATCTCAGTAGCAGTGTGTATGCCCTATAGTAAACTTTCACTACCTCGGGGCAGAACAGTTAAGGACTGAAACTTAGTGAAGTTTTAGTTAAATCAGTAATGAAGTTCTAAGGACTTTTAACCTAGTTTATGCCCTTAAGTATTTTTCAGCACCTATAAAAGTCAAATACACGTGTTGAATTCTTTTGTAAAGGCTTTTTAAAAAATTGATATGGTGGGGGCTGTTGGTTAAGAGCCCTAGAAGAGAATCAGTTCAGTTCCCAGCACCCACACTGGGCAGCTCATAGTCATCTGTAACTCCAGCTCCGGGGATCCAATGCCCTCTTCTGTCCTCTGCAAGTGTACACACAGAGACATTTTTAAAGTTCAGAAAATTGATATAGGGAAGCAATTCTGAATCTTAAAGGTCTTATGTTCATCACAGTGATGTTTTTATATAGTGCCCCTAACATTATCACCTTGTCTCAATATGTACCAAACCAAGAGCACAATAGAAAAAAAAAACCTGGAGATGGAGCAGTGCTAGCATCACATACTAGACAAGTGCTCTACCACTGACCTACATTCACAACACTTGGGAGGCAGAGGCAGGAGGAGCAGTGTGACTTAGAGGCTAGCCTGGTCTGCATAGCAAGTTCCAGGCTAGCCACAGATACACAGGACTTTTTTTTTTTTCAAGACAGGGTTTCTCTGTAGCTTTAGAGCCTGAGCCTATCCTGGAACTCACTCTGTAGACCAGGCTGGCCTCGAACTCATAGAGATCCACCTGCCTCTGCATCCCGAGTGCTGGGATTAAAGGCATGCGCCACCACTGCCCGACTAAGACCTTTTCTTACCCTGTCACAACTTTTAAAAATGTTATATACCTGATGGTTGGCTTTTCCTGGTTGCTCATATTCCAAGTAATCGAGTTTAACATTGTCCAAATAATACAACTATAAAACTGCCATTCATTCTGTGACACTGGAATGATTGGAAAATTTGAGGCATTCATGATATAAGCTGTAGTACTTTGAGAAATGCATAACTCAAAGGCTTACACATTTGAATATGTGGTCTCTAGTTGGTGTTTGGGGGAGTTTTGGAGGCACATTCTTTCTGGAAGAATATCACTTGGGACTGACATTGAGAGTATATAGCTTCTTCTTTTATCATTCTGCTTCAGGCTTACTGTTAAAAGATTTGAACTCTTGGCTTCCTGCTGCTGCAATGCCTGCCACTTGTCATGCTTCTGTCCTGACATAGACATTTATACCTCTGAAACTGTAAGTTAAAATAAACTGTCTTCCTTAAATTGCCTTTGGTTATGGTGTTTTACCACAGTAAAAGAAAAATAACATACAGAGGTCTACTTCACACTTACTGATTTCAAATGTTTCTTTTTTGAGCCAGTGCTATTAACACCAGGAGTCATTAAAAGGTTCTCTTTTAGGTCCACTAAAAACCAGCCTGATCAGATATGGTCAGATGAGACTCATTACTAAGGAAGGCTTTAAAATTCTAGTTCTTGAAAGGAAATTAAATGGAGGAGTACACTGGCACACAATGACAGACTGTAAGTACTTCATACTAGAAAAGGATAATCTCAGCCAAGACAGACTTAAAAAGTTTTCTCTCTGTAAGAACGAGTGGCATTCAGGCTGAGGATATGTAGCTCAGTTGGTAGAGTACTTACTTAGCAAACATGCATATCCAGCACCACAGAAGACCAGTGTGGTAGTGCATGCTTGTTATCCTAGAATTTGGGAAGTAGAGGTAGGATCAGGAGTTCAGGATCACCCTCAGCTACATAATGAACTTGAGTGTGAGATAGATGAGACTCCAGCTTCAAGAAAATAAGTGGCACTCAAGCCATTACTTGACCTATTGAGTGTTTACCCAGGTTGAAGACTGAAAAATGTAAAATCCTTTTTAAAGCCCCTCTCAGTATTACATTAAAAATCTTTTCCATTGTTTAACTCTGGTTACCTATGTTGTAGAATATGAAAGATGTGATACATTTGATTGCTGTGGGATGGTCTGTATGTCAAATTGCTCTGATTGGTCAATAAATAAAACACTGATTGGTCAGTGGCCAGGCAGGAAATATAGGCGGGACTAACAGAGAGGAGAATTGAGAGAACAGGAAGGTGGAGGGAGTCACTGCCAGCCGCCACCATGACAAGCAACATGTGAAGATGCCGATAAGCCACGAGCCACGTGGCAAGGTGTAGATTTATAGATATGGATTGATTTAAGATATAAGAACAATTAGCAAGAAGCCTGCCACGGCCATACAGTTTGTAAGCAATATAAATCTCTGTGTTTACTTGGTTGGGTCTGAGCGGCCTTGGGACTGGCCAGTGACAGAGATTTGTCCTGACTGAGGGCCAGGCAGGAAAACTCTAGCTACATTTGTTTATGCTGTGGAACATTTGTTTAATGATGCAAAGATGTGTTGCATTCTTTTATGTTGCATTTGTTTAACTCTGTGAAGCTGTGTGACTTTGCCTGTCTGTCTAAAAAACACCTGATTGGTCTAAAAGAGCTGAACGGCCAATAGCTTGACAGAAAAGGATAGGCAGGGCTGGCAGGCAGAGAATAGAAATAGAAGAAAGCCGGGCGGTGGTGGCGCACGCCTTTAATCCCAGCACTCGGGAGGCAGAGCCAGGCGGATCTCTGTGAGTTCGAGGCCAGCCTGGGCTACCAAGTGAGTTCCAGGAAAAGGCGCAAAGCTACACAGAGAAACCCTGTCTCGAAAAACCAAAAAAAAAAAAAAAAAAAAAAAAAAAAAAAAAAAAAAAGAAATAGAAGAAAAAAAGAGTCGATCAAGGAATAAGAGGAAGGAGGATGACTTAAGGGGCCAGCCATCCAGCTACACGGCAAGCCACAGAGAAAGAAGTAAAGAAAGGTATATAGAAATAGAAAAAGATAAAAGCCCAGAGGCAAAAGGTAGATGGGATAACTAAAGAAAAGCTGGCTAGAAATAAGCCAAGCTAAGGCCAGGCATTTATAAGAAAGAATAAGCTTCCATATGATTTATTTGGGAGCTGAGTGGTGGGCACCACAAAGAGTAAACAGTAAAAACAACCAACAACATAATTATCCTTTTTGTTTCAGTTAAATCCTACTATTCCTAGATAACCTAGCTTAAAACTCATTTACTTTCTCCAGCAGCTATCATATTTATTGACTATTTTACCCAATTAACTTGAAGACTATATTAGCATGCCAGTAACCACACTTGGATTTAATAGAACAAGCATTTACATTTCCTGGGGCTGGGGATGTCTGTTAGTGGTTGTAGAGTGTTTGCCTAGTATGCACAAGGCTCAAAGTTCAGTCAGTACCACAAAAACGAGTATATGTGCAAGTATTCCCATAAACAAAACACCAATCTAATGCTAGAGTATAGTTTGGATTAACCAATCCCATTTCATGTTTTCAGTGAAAATCAAGTAATCTTACATTAGGGAACACAGGTGGATTTTTATCTGGACACATTATTTTGAGCAATCTTTAACAAACTCACCAGGAAATTTTTGTATTAATTTATATTTTAAGTTTAAAGGAGCATTGAACAGTAATAAGGATTATTTTGAACATCTTTGAGAGACTGAAGATTGCAATTTAAATTTGTTAGGGCCAGTGAGATGGCTTAGAGGATGCTGGTGCCGGCTCCCAAGCCTGATGACCTGAGTCCCATTTCTGCCACAACCTGGAAGGAGAGAACCAAATCCCACTAGTACTCCTTCTGATCTCCATATGCACTCCATGGCACACACAGGACCATACAGAAACACAAGCACACAAAATAAAATGAAAAAAGACATCAATTTGTTTATTCCTGGTATTATCTCACTCACTCTGCTAAGAAAAAAAAAGACAGATTGGAAATCTCATTAAGATCTTTTCTTGCGCCAGGTGGCACACGCCTGTAATCCCAACACTAGGGAGGCAGAGGCAGGTGGATCTCTGTGAGTTCGAGGCCAGCCTGGTCTACAGAGCTAGTCCAGGACAGGCTCCAAAGCTACAGAGAAACCCTGTCTCCAAAAAAAAAAAAATCTTTTCTTGCAAAAGAATATTTAAAAAGTTCATTCTCACTTTTTAATGAAATGACTGATGATGTACATTTTTTACTGTAACTTTGTTTCCTTTGTATAGTAATTTGAGGCAAATTCCTATTCTTTCAAGAGCAAACCCTCTAAAACCACCACCCTTACTCTCAGCCTCTATTCAGCTTCATGCCTTAACTAGGTCAAGCAGTCCCTTAATAGTCTTCTTAATGGAAATTGAGAGGATTTTTTTATTCATATTCTCATCACAATTCTTAAAGCTGTAAATGTCATTCTCTTCTAACAAATGTTAGAATTTTGTTCCATAATCCCAATCCACCAGTTTCCATGATCTGTGATTTCAGTCTTTTCAGACCATTACTTTCTAACGTATATATTCTATATACCACATAAAGCAGTTAGTCACCCTTCTTAAATACCCTAAGGTTTTTGTTTGTTTTGGAGGGACAGGATCTCACTGTGTAAACCTGCATGGCCTGGAACAACTATGTAGACCAGGCCATCCTCAAACATAGATCTGCCTGCCTCTGCCTCCCCAGTGCTGGTATTAAAGACAGGTGTCACCACACCCAGCCCTAAGTTAATTATTTGTAGAGATGTATCTCTGCTTGGTTTTGTGCATATGAGTGCAAACCCATGGTAGCACAGAAAGGACATTGGATCCCCAGGAGCTGGAGTTACAGCTTGTTGTGATCTACCTAATGTGGGTGCTAAGAACTGAAGGCTGGTCCTCTACAAGAACAGCAAGTATTCTTAACCACTAAGCTGTCTCTCCAGCCTGGTTTTTTTTTTTAATTGTGTCACGTGTGTGTCTCTTGAGCTTTTAATGTTCATCCATGTTGTATCTAGAACTTACACATTTACTGAACGTTCTTTCTTCAAGGAATGCTTTTCCTTATAATACCAACAAGCTTTATATATGTATATTATATAATTATATATATTTTTTATATATATATATATATATTTCACACACACACAATTACCTGGAGCCAGAGATATCGGTTGGTCAAATGACTGTGTTTATGAGGCACTGGGTGCAATCCCCAACATTGCATAAAACCAGATCTGCTGGCATGTCTGTAATCCCAGTATTTAGGAAATGAAGTAGGAGTCATTTTAAGCCAGTCTAGGCTGTACATAAGACAATGTTTCAAAACAAAAAATTACATTCATAAAGCTGATTCAAGCAAGAATCACCACCTGACATAGACCTTTGTGTTTGTGATATTTTAATAACCCTAATGCATCTTCCCTTCAAATTACTTTTTTTTTTTTTTTTTTTTTTGGTTTTTTGAACAGGTTTTCTCTGTTTTGGAGCCTGTCCTGGATCAGGCTGGCATCGAACTCAGAGATCCACCTGGCTCTGCCTCGAGTGCTGGGATTAAAGGCGTGCGCCACCGCCGCCTGGCTCAAATTACTTTTTTTTTTTTTTTTTTGGTTTTGGTTTTTCGAGACAGGGTTTCTCTGTGTAGCTTTGCACCTTTTCTGGAACTCACTCCGTAGCCCAGGCTGGCCTCGAACTCGCAGAGATCCACCTGGCTCTCCCGAGTGCTGGGACTAAAGGCGTGCACCACCACCGCCCGGCATTCAAATTACTTTTTAACTTGAAAATATATTATTACTCTGTATGTGTAGGCATGATGTGTTTGTGTGGGCTTGTGTGCCATGGCACATATATGGAGTCAGAGGACAACTTTTGGGCATCGGTTGTCTCATTCCACCTTTACATGGGTTCAAGGAATCAAACTCAGCCTCCAGTGGGCCAAGTGCCTTTACCCAAGGAGCCATGTCTCCAACCCTGAAGGACTTGGGAATTGTAAAAGAAGTAGGTTGAAGAAATTTTGCTTAAAAACCATGCAATAGATTAGTATATCACTAGTAAGGGCAAATACTCTGTCCTTTTAGCTAGGAGAGATTCTGATAGCTTAAGTAACATTCAAGTAAAAAATGTCTAATGGTGGGGCTGGGTAGATGTTGTGCAAGCATGAGGACCCAAGTTCAGATCCTCGGCACACCTGTAAAACTGGGTGTAGCAGCCCAATCCCTGCACCGGGAGGGGGAGATAGGATGATTTCTGGGGCTTGCTGGCCAGCCATTCTAACCAGCTGTAAGCCCTCTAGGTTCTGTGAGAGACCTTGCCTCAAAAATACAAGGTGAAAGTGATAGATGTTAACGCCTGATGTCAGCCCCTGACCTCACGGGCTGGT